GTGGCATCCCTTCACCCTAACCCACTACACCCTCCCAAGTACGTGTTCCTGCAATGTAGTGAGTTGTCTATATTTGAGTGGTATCCCTTCACCCTAACCCACTACACCCTCCCCAGTTCGTGTTCCTGCAATGTAGTGAGTTGTCTATATTTGAGTGGCATCCCTTCACCCTAACCCACTACACCCTCCCCAGTACGTGTTCCTGCAATGTAGTGAGTTGTCTATATTTGAGTGGTATCCCTTAACCCTAACCCACTACACCCTCCCCAGTACGTGTTCCTGCAATGTAGTGAGTTGTCTATATTTGAGTGGTATCCCTTCACCCTAACCCACTACACCCTCCCCAGTACTTATTCCTGCAATGTAGTGAGTTGTCTATATTTGAGTGGTATCCCTTCACCCTAACCCACTACACCCTCCCCAGTACGTATTCCTGCAATGTAGTGAGTTGTCTATATTTGAGTGGTATCCCTTCACCCTAACCCACTACACCCTCCCCAGTACGTATTCCTGCAATGTAGTGAGTTGTCTATATTTGAGTGGTATCCCTTCACCCTTACCCACTACACCCTCCCCAGTATGTGTTCCTGCAATGTAGCGAGTTGTCTATATTTGAGTGGTATCCCTTCACGCTAACCCACTACACCCTCCCCAGTACGTGTTCCTGCAATGTAGTGAGTTGTCTATATTTGAGTGGCATCCCTTCACCCTAACCCACTCCACCCTCCCCAGTACGTGTTCCTGCAATGTAGTGAGTTGTCTATATTTGAGTGGTATCCCCTAACCCTAACCCACTACACCCTCCCCAGTACGTGTTCCTGCAATGTAGTGAGTTGTCTATATTTTAGTGGTATCCCTTCACCCTAACCCACTACACCCTCCCCAGTACGTGTTCCTGCAATGTAGTGAGTTGTCTATATTTGAGTGGCATCCCTTCACCCTAACCCACTACACCCTCCCCAGTACGTGTTCCTGCAATGTAGTGAGTTGTCTATATTTGAGTGGTATCCCTTCACCCTAACCCACTATATCCTCCCCAGTACGTGTTCCTGCAATGTAGTGAGTTGTCTATATTTGAGTGGCATCCCTTCACCCCAACCCACTACACCCTCCCCACTCCCCAGTACGTGTTCCTGCAATGTAGTGAGTTGTCTATATTTGAGTGGTATCCCTTCACCCTAACCCACTATATCCTCCCCAGTACGTGTTCCTGCAATGTAGTGAGTTGTCTATATTTGAGTGGTATCCCTTCAACCTAACCCACTTTAGCCTCCCCAGTACGTGTTCCTGCAATGTAGTGAGTTGTCTATATTTGAGTGGTATCCCTTCACCCTAACCCACTACATCCTCCCCAGTACGTGTTCCTGCAATGTAGTGAGTTGTCTATATTTGAGTGGCATCCCTTCACCCTAACCCACTACACCCTCCCCAGTACGTGTTCCTGCAATGTAGTGAGTTGTCTATATTTGAGTGGTATCCCTTCACCCCAACCCACTACACCCTCCCCAGTACGTGTTCCTGCAATGTAATGAGTTGTCTATATTTGAGTGTTATCCCTTCACCCTAACCCATTACACCCTCCCCAGTACGTATTCCTGCAATGTAGTGAGTTGTCTATATTTGAGTGGTATCACTTCACCCTAACCCACTACATCCTCCCCAGTACGTATTCCTGTAATGTAGTGAGTTGTCTATATTTGAGTGGTATCCCTTCACCCTAACCCACTACACCCTCCCCAGTACGTGTTCCTGCAATGTAGTGAGTTGTCTATATTTGAGTGGTATCCCTTCACCCTAACCCACTACATCCTCCCCAGTACGTATTCCTGCAATGTAGTGAGTTGTCTATATTTGAGTGGTATCCCTTCACCCTAACCCACTACATCCTCCCCAGTAGGTATTCCTGTAATGTAGTGAGTTGTCTATATTTGAGTAGTATCCCTTCACCCTAACCCACTACACCCTCCCCAGTACGTGTTCCTGCAATGTAGTGATTTGTCTATATTTGAGTGGCATCCCTACACCCTAACCCACTACACCCTCCCCAGTACGTGTTCCTACAATGTAGTGATTTGTCTATATTTGAGTGGTATCCCTTCACCCTAACCCACTACACCCTCCCCAGTACGTGTTCCTGCAATGTAGTGAGTTGTCTATATTTGAGTGGTATCCCTTCACCCTAACCCACTACACCCTCCCCAGTACGTGTTCCTGTAATGTAGTGAGTTGTCTATATTTGAGTGGTATCCCTTCACCCTAACCCACTACACCCTCCCCAGTACGTGTTCCTGCAATGTAGTGATTTGTCTATATTTGAGTGGTATCCCTTCACCCTAACCCACTACACCCTCCCCAGTACGTGTTCTTGCAATGTAGTGAGTTGTCTATATTTGAGTGGTATCCCTTCACCCTAACCCATTACACCCTCCCCAGTACGTTTTTCTGCAATGTAGTGATTTGTCTATATTTGAGTGGCATCCCTTCACCCTAACCCACTACATCATCCCCAGTGCGTGTTCCTGCAATGTAGTGAGTTGTCTATATTTGAGTGGTATCCCTTCACCCTAACCCACTACACCCTCCCCAGTACGTGTTCCTACAATGTAGTGATTTGTCTATACTTGAGTGGCATCCCTTCACCCTAACCCACCACACCCTCCCCAGTACGTGTTCCTACAATGTAGTGATTTGTCTATACTTGAGTGGCATCCCTTCACCCTAACCCACTACATCTTCCCCAGTACGTGTTCCTGCAATGTAGTGATTTGTCTATATTTGAGTGGCATCCCTTCACCCTAACCCACTACATCTTTCCCAGTACGTGTTCCTGCAATGTAGTGATTTGTCTATATTTGAGTGGTATCCCTTCACCCTAACCCACTACACCCTCCCCAGGACGTGTTCCTGCAATGTAGTGATTTGTCTATATTTGAGTGGCATCCCTTCACCCTAACCCAATTCATCCTCCCCAGTATGTCTTCCTGCAAGTAGTGAGTTGTCTATATTTGAGTGGCATCCCTTCATCCTAACGTCGGCTCCTGAAGAGGACTATCTCTCCGTGCATATCAGGAAATCGGACAAGTGAGTTATTACCAAGATGTTTACCTGGTGTTAGTAGTAAATTGTATTGTTGTGTCAATTGATATGTCCTGTTCTCTCCAGTTTATCTTTTTAAGCTTTCGTTTAGTTTTGGAGACATAGTTTGAAGAAAACTAAACATATTACCTAACCCAATTATTTATACAGCTTCCCTACTGAAAGCTGTAGCCGGTCATTATGCATTCTAAAGACAAAACTACCAAAGAGGGAAAGAGAGTAGAGCTGAACTTTAAGATAGCAGTTGATGGACCTTATGGGACACCATCGGATGTCAATCCACATTTTCTGTACAAACTCGACTTGCTTTATATCCTATAATGAACTCATAGCCCAACCAGTCAACCAAAGAATAATCGATAAGGATGTATCAGCTATTATTCACGAGAAACCTGTGAGTTTCACCTTACATTTTATGAACTCAGGACATATTCAAGTACAAGACTACGGTTTTAATTGGAGCTGGAGTCTGAGTAACACCATATGCATCCATATTAAAATCATTGTGGTGAGTAAACAGTATAAATAGAATTTGAATTAGTATAATAAGTATTTAAATTGGTATAATTATTATAATAAGTGTAATTAATTCAATTAGTTTAATTAATACAATAAGGATAATCTTACTATATATAAAGCGAGACGATATATATATATATAAAGGCACCCTTCCGAAGGTAGAAGACTTGTCAATGGAAAACATGTCCAGAACAGTTGTTAACCTTACAGACAAGGAGCTCACCGAAGAGCAACTATATGTCTTCTTCTTGTCTCATAAGTTTGCACCTACACCTCCCCTACCAGATCTGAGTCGCTTCGAGAACGATTTGTGTACATGGTTTTCCAAAATGAGAGCCAAAGTTGTTTTTGATAGCTTCAAATTTGGACCCAACAAAGCAGATAGAAGAGTTACTGACATGGAGCGCTGCCTCATCAAGGCCGAATCATCACGTACTTTTGAATCATGTAAAAACCCTGCACTCGAGGCATTTATTAAGTGCTGCAGAGCAGAAGTTGATCTCCACAGGCCAACTATAATTAGTGTAATTAAGTCAATTAGTTTAATTAGTACAATAAATATAATTATTATAATTATTATGATCAGTATGATTAGAATAATTAGCAAAATTAGTATAACTGGTATAATTAGTATAATTAGCAAAATTGGTATCATTGGATTAATTAGTTAATTTAGCATTATTAATATAATTAGCATATTTAGTTAAATTATCAGAATTAGTATAATTACCATAATCAACATAATTAGCAAAATTAGTATAATAAGCAAAATTAGTTGATTAGCAAAATTAGTATAATTAGCAAAATTAGTATAATTAGAAAAATTAGTGTAATTAGAAAAATTAGTATAATTAGAAAAATTAGTGTTATTAACAAAATTAGTGTAATTAAAGAAATTAGTATAATTAGCAAAATTAGTGTAATTAGCGAAATTAGTGTAATTAGCAAAATTAGTATAATTAGCAAAACTAATATAACTAACAAAATCATTATAATTAGCAAAATTATTATAATTAGTGAAATTAGTAAATTAACCATAATTAGCATAATAATCTAAATAGTATCTCGTTGAGATTATCAAATAGTAACTTACGCAATATTGTGGTCGATTTCTGCCATAAATGATTTAAACAGAATATTTTCTCACTCTTTAATTTTGGCCAATAAGTTCATTTCGTGAGCCACTAATTTTGGGTCTTAGAGTGGCATTTTGTTTAAATGGTGAGTTTAGAAGCACTTACAGTACCTTGTTAAATTAATTATTTTTTTATTATATGTATATGATGTATTATTTTATGGCCTTTCTGAAATGTTTTATTCGGAAGAGAGTTGTGAGATTACACATTTAATTATTGCACCTGTTTGAAACAAATCGTAGTCATTACTAACGAAGTAATGTAAAACTGAAAAGTCAAAAGTAATACAACTATGTGCTTTTAAATTAATACTTTAAAAAAGTAATGTAAATTGTAAAGTAAAATCTATTTAAATTAATTATTTAAAAAACATCAGTTAAAAAGGGTAAGTAATAATACACACCTTAAAGAAAATAATCACACTCCACACAACATTTATTTTTTAAATTTCAAAATAAATCTCTAAATTTCTCGGTGAATGCCGATTAATAAAAACGTTCAAAATGATTGAAAGTTATCTCTCAAAAAAATCCGATTCCATTTATCAATCGGTTGCATTTCTTAAAATGTTAAAAGGGACACCGGTTCTACTGTTCGGTACGGTGTACAATGTTTACCATCCTCAGTGGTAGGTTGATACTATTACTAGTCAAATTGTTCATTAAGATAGCTTAAAATGTCTGGTTACAGCAGTATGTCACAGTGGCGGAGGTCCTTGTCTTTTTTCGTGATCTTCATTTCAATATCATGAGGCTCGTTCCTGGATTCTGAAATGGTCGAGTGACAAAAATCTGTTATTATGTAGTTTTTGGTAAACACCATATTTGATATTTCGTGTTCGGAACGTAAAAGTAGAAATGATCACATTTCATGAAATAATAATTATTGAACAGTTTGTACAAAAATTTAAACGAGAAGAATATTTTTCACTTCTTGTACTTACTATTCACAGCTGCCTAACAAGGTTTACAAAGGGTTCACATTTTGTTTTGTCAGTTGAAAGGTTCGTTCCTACTGAGTAAGGGTCTGAAATAAATTGTTATAATATGATATAGTAGCAAGAAATGCAGATTTATGAAAACGTTCAAAATGATTAATCCGGTTCCATCTATCAATCGGTTGCATTTCTTAAAATGTTAAAAGGGACACCGGTTCTACTGTTCGGTACGGTGCACAATGTTTACCATCTTCAGTGGTAGGTTGATACTATTACTAGTCAAATTGTTCATTAAGATAGCTTAAAATATCTGGTTACAGCAGTATCTCACAGTGGCGGAGGTCTGTGTCTTTTCTCGTGATCTTCATTTCAATATCATGAGGCACGTTCCTGGATTCTGAAATGGTAGCGTGACAAAAATCTGTTATTATGTAGTTTTTGGTAAACACTACATTTCGTGTTCGGAACGTAAAAGTAGAAATGATCACATTTCATGAAATAATGATTATTGAACAGTTTGTAGAAAAATTTAAACGAGAAGAATACTTTTTACTTCTTGTACTTTAACTTACTATTCACAGCTGCCTAAAAAGGTTTACAAAGGGTTCACATTTTGTTTTGTCAGTTGAAAGGTTCGTTCCTACTGAGTAAGGGTCTGAAATAAATTGTTATAATATGATATGTGAATGCTCTAATCTAAATTTTGACATTAAGTCTACCCTAGGGTCCACACATCCAAAATGATTATCTTGAAATTGAAAATTAGCTGGGTGTGCATTTTCCTTTGTCTTACTAACGTGTGTGAGCGCAGTGTAGTGAGAAAGTGTTTTTAACAGATTTATTATTAGACTTAGGATTATGATTTTTAATATATTACATTGATATAAGATTTATTTTTGATAGGTACTTAATAAAGTTGATGAATTTCCCTCCCTATTAAAATTTTAAACCCATTTAGTGAAAATTGATAAACGAAGATCTAGATATTGATACATATTATAACCAACATTGCTTATATTCTGCCTTGTAAACAAAGAGCAAATCTTCTTAATGCCTTCTTCCTGTCCTAAAACTAAAACTTCATCCTATTAAAGTAAAGGCCAGTTGTTACCACAAGCTATTATACCGTCCCTCTCAAAAACATGCCTCAGCCTCCATCAAAAACAATTTTAGTTTTCAGTCCTTCTAGTTTCCAAAAATCTACCGAGCTAGTGTTCTGGTGTGCACAAAAGCCCCTAAGCCCGTGCATTCCTTGCCCCGCTAGCTGCCAGTCCTTGACAAACTTCCAATAGCAAAGATCAACTAGTCATTTACAAATTGAGCACTATACAATTTTAATTGTTTTAAATATTTGACTTTGTAAAATGAGCTAAAACATTGATTTATTAGTTTCATTGATTTATTAGTTTCATTGATATAATAGCAATACATGCAGATTTATGAAAACGTTTAAAATGATTAATCCGGTTCCATTTATCAATCGTTCGGTACGGTGTACAATGTTTACCATCCTCAGTGGTAGGTTGATACTATTACTAGTCAAATTGTTCATTAAGATAGCTTAAAATGTCTGGTTACAGCAGTATCTCACAGTGGCGGAGGTCCTTGTCTTTTTTCGTGATCTTCATTTCAATATCATGAGGCTCGTTCCTGGATTCTGAAATGGTCAAGTGACAAAAATCTGTTATTATGTAGTTTTTGGTAAACACCATATTTCGTGTTCGGAACGTAAAAGTAGAAATGATCACATTTCATGAAATAATGATTATTGAACAGTTTGTACAAAAATTTAAACGAGAAGAATATTTTTCACTTCTTGTACTTACTATTCACAGCTGCCTAACAAGGTTTACAAAGGGTTCACATTTTGTTTTGTCAGTTGAAAGGTTCGTTCCTACTGAGTAAGGGTCTGAAATAAATTGTTATAATATGATATAGTAGCAATAAATGCAGATTTATGAAAACGTTCAAAATGATTAATCCGGTTCCATCTATCAATCGGTTGCATTTCTTAAAATGTTAAAAGGGACACCGGTTCTACTGTTCGGTACGGTGCACAATGTTTACCATCTTCAGTGGTAGGTTGATACTATTACTAGTCAAATTGTTCATTAAGATAGCTTAAAATATCTGGTTACAGCAGTATCTCACAGTGGCGGAGGTCTGTGTCTTTTCTCGTGATCTTCATTTCAATTTCATGAGGCTCGTTCCTGGATTCTGAAATGGTAGCGTGACAAAAATCTGTTATTATGTAGTTTTTGGTAAACACTACATTTCGTGTTCGGAACGTAAAAGTAGAAATGATCAAATTTCATGAAATAATAATTATTGAACAGTTTGTAGAAAAATTTAAACGAGAAGAATACTTTTCACTTCTTGTACTTTAACTTACTATTCACAGCTGCCTAAAACGGTTTACAAAGGGTTCACATTTGTTTTGTCAGTTGAAAGGTTCGTTCCTACTGAGTAAGGGTCTGAAATAAATTGTTATAATATGATATAATAGCAATAAATGCAGATTTATGAAAACGTTCAAAATGATTAATCCGGTTCCATCTATCAATCGGTTGCATTTCTTAAAATGTGAAAAGGCACGACGGTTCTACTGTTCGGTACGGTGTACAATGTTTACCATCTTCAGTGGTAGGTTGATACTATTACTCATCAAATTGTTCATTAAGATTTAAGATAGCTTAAAATATCTGGTTATAGCAGTATCTCATAGTGGCGGAGGTCTGTGTCTTTTCTCGTGATCTTCATTTCAATATCATGAGACTCGTTCCTGGATTTTTTAATGGTCGAGTGACAAAAATTTGTTATTATGTAGTTTTTGGTAAACACCACATTTCGTGTTCGGAATGTAAAAGTAGAAATGATCACATTTCATGAAATAATAATTATTGAACAGTTTGTACAAAAATTTAACCGAGAAGAATATTTTTCACTTCTTGTACTTACTATCACAGCTGCCTAACAAGGTTTACAAAAGGTTCACATTTTGTTTTGTCAGCTGAAAGGTTCGTTCCTACCGAGTAAGGGTCTGAAATAAATTGTTATAATATGATATAATAGCAATACATGCAGATTTATGAAAAAGTTCAAAATGATTAATCCGATTCCATTTATCAATCGGTTGCATTTCTCAAAAAGTTAAAAAGGACACCAGTTACCGTTTGGTACGGTGTACAATGTTTACCATCTTCAGTGGTAGGTTGATACTAGTGAAATTGCCTGGTTACAGCAGTATCTCACAGTGGTGGAGGTCGGTGTCTTTTCTCGAGATCTTCGTTTCAATATCATGAGGCTCGTTCCTGGATTCTGAAATGGTCGAGTGACAAAAATCTGTTATTATGTAGTTTTTGGTAAACACCACATTTCGTGTTCGGAACGTAAAAGTAGAAATGATCACATTTCATAAAATAATAATTATTGAACAGTTTGTACAAAAATTTAAACGAGAAGAATATTTTTCACTTCTTGTACTTACTACTCACAGCTGCCTAACAAGGTTTACAAAGGGTTCACATTTTGTTTTGTCAGTTGAAAGGTTTGTTCCTACTGAGTAAGGGTCTGAAATAAATTGTTATAATATGATATAATAGCAAAACATCAAAATTTTGTTAAATTTTTAATATTTAACAAAATATTATTTTGTATTGTACATGTTATTTCTGGTAATCAGCACAGTTCATGTTCAAAATGCGAAAGTAAATTTGTTCACAGTCAAGTTCAAAATAAGTTAGATAATTTCAATGTGTGTATCAAACAGCAATTGAATTTTAGGAATTCAGCACAATTTTTTATTTGAAAATTGAATTAATTATTATATCTTACTATATATAAAGCGAGACGATATATATATGTGTATATATCCGTGCCATTTTACTGACACCACGGCATCAACTTTAACGCGACTTTCCGCAAAAACCGTAAAAGATATACAACTGAAACTTTTTTGACTGAGTCAAATGCTTTAATGGCCTTCGAATCAGCAAGAAAAAATAAAAAATTGGCCAAGGAATAATAATTTTAGTGCCCAAAATTTGGACTCTTAAGTGGTGTCAAAAACGCGAATTAAATAGGTAATAATTATTTTAGTCTCTCGAGTCTTGACACCACTTTAGGGTAAGACGGGTTCCTGCTAGTATATATAAATCAAGCGTTACATTTCAGCCATGCAAAAATACAATGACATATTTTGATATACTAATTGATAAATGGTACTGCAATATAAGTTGCATAATGTTTGGCCGGATGACAACTAACGAGAAAAATAAACTTGATTACATAATAATTAATTCGGCTGAACCAACACATAGCAGGAGCCACATTAACGTTGGGGCCGTCAAAAATAGAAGTGTTATCACGAAAAAAAGCACTTAAAAAGGGTCATTTTTTACTAACCTTTGATTCTCGTTGAACTGGTTGAAGCTGATATCCTCTCTTTCTTCCTGTTGAACATTCGTATAGTCTCTATACAGCATCATCTTCGTTCCTGGAGTTGGTTATCAATAACTTAAAATAAGAGTAAATTATCATTAATTGACGATATAAAGATCTTCTCGCTTTTGCCATTTGAAATGGAAAGCACCGGATTTCCAGTCAGTTTCTAATATTTACTAGACAATATCACCAAGCTATCAATGGCGTATGTTATTACAATTGACTAGATTCTACGTATTAAGTATAGGTACGTACCGTAATTGTAGCTGCTGATAAAAGCTGAAAGTAGGTTTAAAAACGAAGGCAAATAAGTTTGCTTTTCTAAGGTTGTTATATATCAGGGCTGGATAAACTTCAGCAGTTCAAAACTAATTACAACACTACAAATCTATTACATTTATTGAGTATTATGTAACGCGATGGAAATATTTTAAGCGGGTAATATTATCCTGTCCAAACCCAGGATACATAACATGAAGACTTTGTTGTAACTTTGTATGAGAAGTATTAAAATAAGCCTAATAATGTTAACATTTTTTGGATATTGATTGAGCAGTTTTTTGAAAGATTTCAACGAAAAGAGTAATCCTCCGTATCTTGTACTTACTGCTCACAGCTCATAAAATGGTCAACAAAGGATTCACATCTTTTCAGTTGAAAGGTTCGTTCCTACTGAGTAAGGGTCTGAAACAAATTGTTATAATATGATATAATAGCAATACATCAAACCTTTGTTAAATCTTTGAATAGATTTTGAATTTAATTTAATGTTAAATACATATTTATAAATAATATGTATTTAACATTGAATAATTTTTATGAATGTTTAAAAACACAAATATGTCTCACAGTGATGGAGTTATGTGTCTTTTTTCAGGGTATTCATCACTTATCAATGCCATGAAGCTCGTTTCTGTAATCTGTATTCTGAAATGGTGATTTGATTGCTGAGTGACACATTATTTCTGGTATTGTACATGTAATTTCTGGTAATCAACACGGTTCATGTTCAAAATGTAAAATTTGGTCACAGTTAAATTGAAAATAATTTAGATAATAGCAATGTGTTTTAAAGAGCAATTGAATTTTAGGAATTCAGCACAATAGAAGTGTTGCAGTATATGACGAAAAAAAACAAACACTTTAAGTGGACATTTTTCTTACTAACCTTGAATTCTCATAGATTAATTGGAGGTGATATTCTCTCTCTTTCTTCCTGTTCATCTCTATTCTGTCGACATTCGCATAGACTTTATACATCATCGTCATTGTTCCTGGGGTTGTTAATTAATAACTTGAGATAGGATCGAGTAGATTATCATTAGACCTTATGAAGATCCTCTGGTTTTTGTCATTTGAAATGGAAATCACCGGATTTGCGGTTAGTATCTAATATTTGCTAGACTATATTATCAAGGGTTTATGTTGTAACATTGAGCTAGATTCTACGTACATCTCACGATTGCATTAAGTGTTTTAGTTTAAATTTAATATATTTATGAAACAAAGTGTTTTACTATGTTAGAAAGAAAATGCATTCTTTGTTAAATTTTTGAATTTAAATTGATTTTACATTTTATTTTGCTTTGTCAAATGCTGTTGTGTTGAGATCTCAGAGCAGGTTACCTCGATAACTTTTCTGGGGACTTATGGGTATTGGGTTTCTGCTGTCATACTTTTCCACCCGGAAAACTCCAACATTCATTTTCTTATTTAGATATCTAAGTTAGATTGCAGTATCATCTGAGCTATTTGTCATAGCCCATCAACTGTAAGATTAAATAAATCAGTTTTCTATAGTAATGTAGCCATTAACCAACTCTCCCCCTTAAGACATTATTTTACCCCCTTTCGTCGGTTATGCTGATACTATCCTGGTTGTATGAAGAGTTTAGTTATCATTTTGTAGTGATGATATGGTCATTTAGCATATCCGCTTTTACAATTATACCTGTATTTATACACTCGGGTTCATTAAAATCGAAAATAAATTCCGTTCCTGAGGTGCAGGTCACATCGCTGCTCCCTTTATTGAGAGCTCTGGATTCAATACAATTCACTTCCACCACGGTTCCTGGGACTACTGGGAACTGTGTTGTTGTTCTGATCGCAGTTCTCCACTCAGCCTTCAGTCCCGTACAGCTCACTGTCGATATGTCATATTAAATCACGTTAAACTGATTAATAAGGGTTATTTTGACGGTTTCTTATGTTCTCTTCCGCAGTTCCGCGATTTAGTTTTCCTGTCCCAACCCGAACCCTTTCAAGCAACCTCAAATATAACTATACTATCGTTTGTTAGGGTCCAAGTCTTACATACTGTATACAATTTACCATTCTATAGCGCAGTTAAATTAAATTAAAAACATAACAATAAAGTAAAATTTAAAGTTATCTTACCACAGGCAGTTTTGTTAGTGTTTGGTTTCCATCCAGCGTCACATGTCTCACAGCTTGTCATAGCATCATTCCGATATGTTCCTTCCCCACACGGCTCTGGAATTATAACGTTATTATATATTATTACAACTGGTAAATCGTTGTGGAAGATAAGGAAATCGTTATTATATAAGTACACTTCAGATGTATTTCAATTAAATTAGATTTAAAACAATAGGTGAATAATTAAATATCCACACAACACGGTTTTTTTTATAGAATTATTACCACCCAGACTCTTACGGTTCTTGTCTTTTCGTACCACAAATTTGCCTTCTTGATTCTAAGCCCCTAATAATAATTAATAATTTTAATATAATAAAATCTTGTTAACAATCCTTACCACACGTTGTTCTCGCTGAGTTTCGTTCCTGGCCAAGTTCACAAGTTGTACACAAGGCTGCTCCTTCTGAACTGATCGTGTTATCAGGACATTCTTTACATGTGTTCATATCAATGTTATTGTAGCTTCCAGCTGGACATGGCTCTGAAGAATTAGGAAATCTTTAAGCAGCAATTCGTTTTGAACTACCTTATTATTATTAAGAAGTTATTGTGAGTACCAATATCCTCGGTTTTCATTCTATAGCTCAGTTAATTAAATTTAAAACACAACAATAATATTAAATATTAGCTTTAAAGTTATCTTACCACAGGCTGTTTTGTCAGAGTTAGGTGTCAATCCAGCTTCACATGTCTCACAGCTTGTCATAGCATCATTCCGATAATTTCCTTCCCCACACGGCTCTGGCATTAATAACGTTAAAACTGGCAAATCGTAGTGGAAGCTAAGAAAATCGTTATTATATAAGTATTTAAGTACAGTTTAGATGTGTTACAATAACATTAGATTTAAAACAATGTGTGAATAATTAAATATCCAAACAACCACGGTTTTTTGATAGAATTATTACCACCCAAATTTTACGGTTCTTGTCTTTTCATACCACAAATTTGCCTTCTTGATTCTAAGTCCTATATGGCGCCTTATCCTTATCCCGTCTTAACCCTTATCCTATCTTTGCCCATCTATGTAGATATAATCATCTCAGCTCGATTCTTATTAACAATTCTTACCACATTTTGTTCTCCCTAAATTTCGTTCCTGGCCATGTTCACAAGTTGTACACAAGGCTGCTCCTTCTGAACTGATCGTGTTATCAGGACATTCTTTACATGTGTTCATTGCAATGTTCTTGTAGCTTCCAGCTGGACATGACTCTGAAGAATTAGGAAATCTTTAAGCAGCAATTCGTTTGAACTACCTTATTTAGAAGTTATTGTGAGTACCAATATCCTCGGTTTTCATTCTGTAGCACAGTTAATTCAAATTTAAAACATAACAATAGTATTACATTTTATAAGCTTTAAAGTTATCTTACCACAGGCTGATTTGTCAGAGTTTGGTGTCAATCCAGCGTCACATATCTCACAGCTTGTCATAGCATCATTCCGATATGTTTTTTCTCTACACGGCTCTACAATTTTAATGTTACAAATGGCAAATAGTTGTGGAAGATAAGAAAATCGTTATTATATAAGTACACTTCAGATGTGTTGCAATGTACAATTACATAAGATTTAAAACAATAGGTGAAAAATTAAATATCCACACAACCACGGTTTTTTGATAGACTTATTACCACCCAGACTCTTACGGTTCTTGTCTTTTTGTACCACAAATTTGCCTTCTTGATTCTAAGTCGTATCTGGCGCCTTATCCTTATCCCGTCTTAACCCTTATCCTCTCGTTGCCCATCTGTATAATATAGATATAATCATCTCAGCTCGATTCTTATTAACAATTCTTACCACATTTTGTTCTCCCTGAGTTTCTTTCCTGGCCAAGTTCACAAGTTGTACACAAGGCTGCTCCTTCTGAACTGATCGTGTTATCAGGACATTCTTTACATGTGTTCATCTCAATGTTCTTGTAGCTTCCAGCTGGACATGGCTCTGAAGAATTAGGAAATCTTTAAGCAGCAATTCGTTTGAACTACCTTATTATTATTAAGAAGTTATTGTGAGTACCAATGTCCTCGGTTTTCATTCTATAGCACAGTTAATTCAAATTTAAAACATAACAATAATATTAAATATAATAAGCTTTAAAGTTATCTTACCACAGGCTGTTTTATCAGAGTTTGGTGTTAATCCAGCGTCACATGTCTCACAGCTTGTCATAGCATCATTCCGATATTTTCTTTCTCCACACGGCTCTGGAATTAATAACGTTAAAACTGGCAAATCGTAGTGGAAGATAAGAAAATCGTTATTATATAAGTATTTAAGTACAGTTTAGGTGTGTTACAATAACATTAGATTTAAAACAATGTGTGAAAAATTAAATATCCACACAACCACGGTTTTTGATAGAATTATTACTACCCAAACTTTTACGGTTCTTGTCTTTTCATACCACAAATTTGCCTTCTTGATTCTAAGTCGTATCTGGCGCCTTATCCTTATCCCGTCTTAACCCTTATCGGTTCTTTTGCGATAGTCAAAACGCGACAACTAGCGCTGGATGGCGACAACTAGCGCTATCCAGCGCTAGTTGTCGCCATCCAGCGCTAGTTGTCGCTATCCAGCGCTGGATAACGCTGGCCAGCGCAAAATATATATGTTCGATAATTGTCGCTATCCAGCGCTAGTTGTCGCCATCCAGCGCTAGTTGTCGTCATCCAGCGCTAGTTGTCGCTATCCAGCGCTAGTTGTCGCTGGCTATGCGACACTGTCGCACGCGATAGTTTGCGATGGCCAGCGCAACTGGCCATCGCAGAAAACAGTTCGATAACTAGCGCTGGATAGCGACAACTAGCGCTGGATAGCGACAACTAGTGCTGGCCAGCGCTGGCCAGCGCTAAGCGATAGCCAGCGCTGGCCAGCGCTGGCCATCGATATCCAGCGCAAAATTTTTGCGCTATTACTCGTCAGCTAGCGCTGGCCAGCGCTAGCCAGCGCTAGTTGTCGCTATCCAGCGCTGGCCAGCGCTAGCCAGCGCTAGTTGTCGCTATCCAGCGCTAGCCAGCGCCAGCCAGCGCTAGTTGTCGCTATCCAGCGCTAGCCAGCGCTAGCCAGCGCTAGCCAGCGCTAGCCAGCGCTAGCCAGCGCTAGCCAGCGCTAGCCAGCGCTAGCCAGCGCTAGCCAGCGCTAGCCAGCGCTAGCCAGCGCTAGCCAGCGTTAGCCAGCGCTAGCCAGCGGTAACCAGCGCTAGCCAGCGCAATGTGTCAAAATCATATACTTGCGATATTACTCGGATGATGATTAATCACTTTACACTTGACTGTCACGTGCCTTTTTTAATCCATTCTCTGACTCTAGCTGGTTCTGAACGACTTTTCGAAACCCCAACCCTCTAAGTTTAATCTGATCCCAACCCTAACCCTAACCCAATCCTTAACAAAAACATATGCTGAAACCCTAACAATAACGAGAAATTAGACTAACTTCCTTATACGGTCATATCACGTGATCGATACTTGTACAGTTTTTCGCCAATATCTCGTCAGGAGAGCATTTTAACCCTATGTCATGGGCCCATGGGGGTTGATTCGGAATTAGCGTCCGAAAATACATCGATTGAAGTTGGACACAACCATCGGGGGCCCTTTTAGAACAATCTCGAAGATCGACTGTAGAGTGATTTAGCACGCTCGATATTAGTATTACTCGTCAGCCAGCGCTGGCCAGCGCAATATAGTTGCGATATTACTCGTCAGCTAGCGCTGGCCAGCGCTGGCTAGCGCTGGTTAGCGCTGGCTAGCGCTGGTTAGCGCTGGCTAGCGCTGGTTAGCGCTGGTTAGCGCTGGTTAGCGCTGGCTAGCGCTGGCTAGCGCTGGCCAGCGCTGGTTAGCGCTAGCTGACGAGTAATAGCGCAAAAATTTTGCGCTGGATATCGATGGCCAGCGCTGGCCAGCGCTAGTTGTCGCTATCCAGCGCTAGTTGTCGCCATCCAGCGCTAGTTATCGAACTGTTTTCTGCGATGGCCAGTTGCGCTGGCCATCGCAAACTATCGCGTGCGACAGTGTCGCATAGCCAGCGACAACTAGCGCTGGATAGCGACAACTAGCGATGGATGGCGACAACTAGCGCTGGATGGCGACAACTAGCGCTGGATAGCGACAATTATCGAACATATATATTTTGCGCTGGCCAGCGTTATCCAGCGCTGGATAGCGACAACTAGCGCTGGATGGCGACAACTAGCACTGGATAGCGCTAGTTGTCGCCATCCAGCGCTAGTTGTCGCGTTTTGACTATCGCAAAAGAACCCCCTTATCCTCTCGTTGCCCATCTGTATAATATAGATATAATCATCTCAGCTCGATTCTTATTAACAATTCTTACCACATTTTGTTCTCCCTGAGTTTCTTTCCTGGCCAAGTTCACAAGTTGTACACAAGGCTGCTCCTTCTGAACTGATCGTGTTATCAGGACATTCTTTACATGTGTTCATCTCAATGTTCTTGTAGCTTCCAGCTGGACATGACTCTGAAGAATTAGGAAATCGTTAAGCAGCAATTCGTTTGAACTAGCTTATTAATATTAAGAAGTTATTGTGAGTAACAATATCCTCGGTTTTCATTCTATAGCACAGTTAATTCAGATTTAAAACACAACAATAATATTAAATATAAGCTTTAAAGTTATCTTACCACAGGCTGTTTTGTCAGAGTTTGGTGTCAATCCAGCGTCACATGTCTCACAGCTTGTCATAGCATCATTCCGATATGTTCCTTCTCCACACGGCTCTGGAATTAATAACGTTAAAACTGGCAAATCGTAGTGAAAGATAAGAAAATCGTTATTATATAAGTATTTAAGTACAGTTTAGATGTGTTACAATAACATTAGATTTAAAACAATGTGTGAAAAATTAAATATCCACACAACCACGGATTTTTGATAGAATTATTACGGCCCAGACTCTTACGGTTCTTGTCTTTTCGTACCACAAATTTGCCTTCTAAGTCCTATCTGGCGCCTTTTCCTTATCCCGTCATTACCCTTAACCTATCTTTGCCCATCTATATAATCATCTCAGCTCGGTTCTTGTTAACAATTCTGACCACATTTTGTTCTCCCTGAGTTTCGTTCCTGGCCAAGTTCACAAGTTGGTTTCCATTCTATAGCACAGTTAATTCAAATTTAAAACACAACAATAATATTAAATATAAGTTTTAAAGTTATCTTACCACAGGCTGTTTCGTCAGAGTTTGGTGTCAATCCAGCGTCACATGTCTCACAGCTTGTCATATCATAATTCCGATATTTTCCTTCTCCACACGGCTCTGGAATTAATAACGTTAAAACTGGCAGATCGTAGTGGAAGATAAGAAAATCGTTATTATATAACTATTTAAGTACAGTTCAGATGTGTTACAATAACATTAGATTTAAAATTGAAAAATTAAATATCCACATATTCCACGGTTTTTCGAGGAAATTATTGCCACCCAGACTCTTACGGTTCTTGAAATTTTCGTACCACAAATTTTCCTTCTTGGCTCTAAGCCCAATACTAACTCAAATTGCTATCAGTCATTTGCATTAGGATTAACGCTAAAAATTCGCCTCATCAACAAACTATGCAGCACAATGCACATTGCACAATGCACATATTGTGTAAACTCTGCAAAATAAATATTGAACCAAAAAAGTTTTCAGTTTGTCTGGTAAAATACCTTACTGCTTATGTTGAAGATATTTTGTAAAAACATCAGTTTTCAATTGATAATTGTTTCAACCTTAGGAGCTGAAAATGGCTTGTCTCCATGATGTCTACTACAAAATATGCAATATTTCTAAATTATAGTTAGCTATTTTGCAATCTGAAAGAATATGATTTTATTTTATTCGGAGAACAGTAATTGATAAAATTATGACCACTTTATTAAGTTATAAATAACAATATGTAGTAACTATCCTATATCCCATATCCTATAATATATGCGTTTATGTCAAATAACTAAATAACAAACTTGAAATTTAGACAGAAAACACGTAATCACAAGCTTACGAGAGAATCAGCAAGTTGGCGTATATGTAAATTAAAGTTATTGTTACTTTGTTAAACCAATGCTTGTTGTTATTAGTCACCTGGTTGTGTTCCGTAGTAATCAGATGCTTCGTCATAGGAAGAGAACTCTATCTTTGTCACGTCCCTGTTCCAGTACGTGCTCCAGTCACTGCGACTACACGTTGCTTGAGAGAGCAGTATGTTGAGCACCTCTACCTCGTTACAGTGTATCACTACTCTAACACCTGCAGTTCTGGTTATACGCCACACCTTGACAGCAGTAGAGGGGGGTTTAACAGGGAGGTTAGTGGAGGATGTGGTGCACCCGTTGAGGATGTATTCTGTAGTAGATCTGAAGTAGAGGTAGACTGCTCCTGCAAACTGTCCCCCAGCAGAGTAGAAGTTCACTACCACCTGCACACTCTTCAGCACACTATTAGTTTTAATTTCTAAAGGTGTCGACTCAAGATCCCACTCTATTTTCACGTTACGTTCGACTGGTAACCAACCTGTTAATTGTATGTTTAATTCATGACTACTGAGCAACGATTCATGAATATCATGAATTTAAAGAAGAGGTGTTCTAGAAAAATTGTAAAGGAATTGTATGAATGTCGCCCATAGTTTATTCTAAGAATTTAAGGGCCCGACCATACTATGACTGTTGTCACCATGACTGTTGTCATGGTGCGGTCAGATGTAATGACCATATGTACGTAGTGTGTTTATAGGGCGTGCCAAGGATACGTGACAACTCCTCAGGCACTCGGCTTTTCAAAAGCCGTACCTAGCTGATAATCCGTGCCTGACGTGACTGCAGGCACAGTCTATTCAGTACTCGTGCCAACCGTCATGGATAACACGACGTCACGATTACCTAATAAGGTCAATATTTTGCGTGATATGGACATTTGCAGTGCAGAATGCAAAGATAGACGATAGTACTATAGTACAGACAGATCCGTCTAAAATAATCGATCTACTGACAGAAGAAGCTTCCAAAGGATTTATGACGTTTTTAGGTTCAATTTTAAGTTTCATTCGGGTGGCCAACTTTTCCAAAATTGTCCACGTGTCTTAAGGCCACTTTTTGCCACTTTTGCCACTTTTTACCTCCTTTCTTGTTTGTCAAATATCTTCAGCTGTGAACATCGTAGAAGGATACGAATTAATAGAGGGTAATTATCATATCGACGAGAAAAACTTTTGTAAGACAAATGTTCATGTCAGACACTGACAATTAGATAATTGGATAGTTACTAATTAGCAAGTAACCAAAAATCACAAAAATGTTTATTGGCTCAAAATTATCGGAATTTCTTGAAATACCGGGAAAGGTAGTATAGGTAGTTTATGAAAAGACTTTCGAAAATTTAAATTTTGTTTTCCGCCAAAAGTTTTTTCGAATAGAAGTTCTAATGAAAGCATCAAACCATGGTTTGGTGGCCGAACTGCATCCGACCGAATTGGTCCCCACTGGGAAACAGATTGGTCCCCACTGGGAATCGAACCCCAGTCGTCCGTGTGGGAAGTAAATGTATTAAAACAACTAAACCACCCGGCCGACGTGACAGCACTCACATTTTACTATTTTCATCCAAAATAATTTATGTTTAGAAATCGAGCCTAAAATCATGACAAATGGCACAGTGTGTTAAGAGGCCGTGCCTTTACTCGTGACAACAGTCATAGTATGGTTCTTACTTCCTTTTCCCATAGGAAGTATACAAATTTGCGAAATTTGTGACTAAAATTATGGTATTACCAAAATGTTTGTAACCAAATTTATTGTGAACCAAATTTATTGACCTTAGTCCTTAAGGTATTTTTTATGCGATACATCGCATAAATATCATTATGGTAAACTTTTAATCAGTATATTATGTAATCATTTGATTTAACCTGTTATCCGGTTTGCAGGAACCATGTAATTCAAATTTTTCCCGATTACTTCATTTCTCGATTACTTCGCTGCCTATTAGGTGCCTTGCCGTCACTCGATAGGCAGCAGTATTTATGCGACCAGCTCTGTAAACATTGTTTCTTACAACGATATATTATGCTATCTTTTATAATCCAATATTCTAGAACTTTACACCTTGTTGTATTTACAAAAGATCAAAGCATACAGACTGTTACAATGCTGAAAAACAGCAAACTTTTTTCCCTAGAGCGTTAATTGTATTGACGGAGGTCACTAGTATCAAGATCTTAGTTTTAAGTTATATTCAAACAAAACACTTATTCAACAATAGATGTATCTCCAATCAGATAATGTAACTACACAAGCCACAGCAATTATAAGTCTATGATATGTAGCAATTATAAGTCTATGATATGTAGGCTAAGACATCTAGAAAATGCCGTTTTGAGTATAAGTTGTTAACTCAGAGTCAGACCCCTGTTTGTTTCAGCTGTTAGATTTAGCATGAAGCAAACAGAAGAGTGAATTACCGAGAATTAAACAATTTGAACTTATTGTAGTGGCACCAGATCAGGATTTTTAATGTTTTCATTTAGTTCTTGATTCTTTTCTGTTTGATCCCTGTCACCCTGTGGTCAATTCAAAGATAATACTTTTGACACTTGCACTTCTACTGGATAAACTTCACCTCATTGGACACACTACCTACAGCTATTATCCCGACGTACACTAAGTATCAGCCCGAAAGCAGCTCAAAAATATTTCTACTGAGTTTCATTAATTTAGTTAACCTAAATTCGTTACAATTTGCAGGCCGTGAATGAATGGGGAAAATGAGCGACCGATTACATTCCCGGTATCATTTTGCATAAATTTGAGAACGGTAACTTAAATTGATCTACTTCCTTTGTGTCTGGAAAAAGGAGATACGGTCGATGGTCCAATCTACCCAATTTTTGGTTTTGGTGAAAAGTATTTAATACTATAATTATCTCATTTCAACGGGTATAAGTGGTACTATTTCTATTTTCTATAACGATAAATTATTGATCTATTTTTGATCAATGATAAGTAAAATAGCAGCTCATGCATGCACACGTCACGTAACTTACCACAGAGAGATAGCGAGATGATTTGTAGGAATATTAACTTCGTTTGAAGATTCCGCATGTCTACCATTCTACATTGTTAGAAAAATCGATGTTTAACTTTAAACGAAATATCAACAACTGAAGATTGAGGAAAGTACATAATACAAGTTTAATAATTAACTCGCCCCACGAAAAACCTCACCGAACCTCCACGCGGTGTGGGGTGGGTGATTCGAACGGGAGGTGCATGGGTGTTTCTAACCTATGCAAAGGAAGGGACTAGCCATCTCTACAACAAGGAAAGGCTCTAATAGCCTCTACTAACCTTAGAACCGCAGCATAACCCCTTTTCCCAAAGGCAAATAACACCTTCCGCAGGAAACTAACACGCTCACAGGCTCCCACATGACGTGTAACCCCAGTACAGGGTTTGGTTTTGAATCGGACACTGAAAACAACGATAGAGGAGCGGTCTACACGCTCACAGACTACCACGTCTCGTGTAACCGCAGAACTCTAACACTTAACAGACTCTAACACGCTCACGTTTCGTGTACCCTAGGATTTGGTTTTGGATCGGAAACTCAAAACAACGATAGAGGAGCGGTCTACACGCTTACAGCTTTACAGGCTACCATGTCTCGTGTAACCCCAAGATTTTACACGTTCACAGGCTACCACGCCTCGTGTATCCTAGGATTTGGTTTTGGATCGGACAATCAAAACAACGATATTAGAGCTAGGAGCGGTCTACACGCTCATAGACTACCACGTCTCGTGTAACCCCAGGATTTAACACGCTCACAGGTTACCACGCCTCGTGTAACCCCAGGATTTAACACGCTCATAGACCACCACGTCTCGTGTAACCCTAGGACTCTAACAATTAACAGACTCTAACACGCTCACATGCTTCCACGTCTCGTGTACCCTAGGATTTGGTTTTGGATCGGACACTCAAAACAACGATAGAGGAGCGGACTACACGCTCACAGGCTAGCATATCTCGTGTAACCCCAGGATTTTACACGTTCAAAGTCTACGACGTCTCGTGTAACCCCAGGAT